TTGCCAGTGTGCCAGTGGTTGCCACCTCTGAAAGGATGGTCCCTGGGACTTGCGGCCATGCGCTGCACCACGGCCGGCAGTTCCTCATTGCCTCCTTTGTAGCGGGCATAGCCTGCCGTCAGGATGGCTGGTCAGTTCGGCCGTCTCTGGCGCCCACACCGACCACAGCTCTGTTGGCTGAGATGATCCTTCTGGGGGGGGCAGCTTCATGTGAGTCTTTCTGGTCTCTGGGCTAGAGGAGGTGACTGTGGCTTAGTTCTCCAAGGCTCAGGCCAACTAGTTCAGTCCCAGCGTGTCCTCCCGGCAGCGCTTGATGGAACAGGTGTGGTGTCTGCAGGAAGGATGCTGCTGACGTCCAGCTGGGCCCTCTTGCTGCCATACACAAACCCAGGCTGGCCCATGTGGAGGCCCTTGGTGGTGATGGACAGCGCTGTCTGCTGCTTAAACCTGTGTGGGTCCCGGAGACCATCTCAGCAGGGGGATGCCCTTCAAGGTGCCCTTGATGTATCTGTGCTGCCCAGCCAAGTCCACAGCACGCAGGCGCAGGAGCCCTCGTGCTTCATGCGCACACGGAGCACAGAGCGGGCGCCCTTCCTCTGTCCACGCATCCTGCGGCCCACGACTGCTCGTGAGTGCAGCCTGAAGAGCTGTACCTGGAATTTTAATGCCCTTGCTGTTTGCAGAAAATATGCCAGTGTCATGTATCCATTATGTAATAAGCTGTTTCAAAGCAGGAGTGTGATGAAGATGCCTGTGAATGCACAAGAAAAGGCAGGGACTGGCCATTTACGAAAGAGGAAATACGGTTCATAAACACTTGGTCAAAAATTACTTCATCTTACTAGTCATCAAAGAAGAGAAAATTAAAGCAGCATGACGGAGAGCGCTGTGCACCGCCTCCCCCGGGAAGGAACGGAGTGTAGGGAGTGCCCTGCGCCAGGAAGCCCCCACTCAGCTGGCTGCCCTTCCTCTGAGGATCTGCCCCAGCAACTCAGTTGACACATGGCAAGCCGGTGCCCCAGGTCTCTGTCGTGGTAGTGTCTAGGAGGCAGAGACTCGAGGGCCACCAGATGTCCCACCCCAGGAGGGGCCATTCAGCAGCACTTGGCAAACACCGCACGGGGCAGTCGAGAGCAGAGGCGCGAGGACAGAGCCCAGGGACACAGAACCCCACGAGGAGGCCCGCAGTGGGCGGCAGCACAGCTGGGAAAGCTCTGAGCACAGCACACAGGGCGACAGGCAGCGGTGCAGGCAGCCCTCTTTCCCCAAATTGCCCGAGAGGTGCGCCTTTATCCTGGCGTAGGAGGGAATTGGTTGGGAGCTGACTGGGCACAGCTGCCAGCATCCTGCTGCTCACACCATTCGGACCCCTCTGTGTGCCCACCTCAGCATAAGTCGTCCACCCTCCTGCAGGGCTCCGGGCCTGAGCCACTTCGGCCAAGGCCACCCGACCGGCTGCCCAGCACAGCAGGGAGACCTGGGCCTGCTCCAAGTATAAAGGAACAGCATTCCAGGGTCGACCCTGGCCACTGCCCAGTCCTTTGCTCAGCAAGGCCCATGGTGGGGCTCAGGGCCTGCTGTCCTGCCATCAAGGCTGGCCACAGCTGGGGATGTGGCCCCACCCAAATGAAGCCGGCCTCTTCCCTGCACCCACTCCCCAGCCAGGTCCCACGGGCCCAGCTTCTAAGCCCACTGTGTCCTTGGCTGCCCTCCTCAGGGCCAAGTCTGACGCCTGCCACAGGTCACTCTCTTTGTTGTTCGTTCCCGAAGGGGCGTGTCTATGCCGCGCAGCCCACTCCCTGCTGGCCGTCCAGCCTGTCCAGCTGTCACTTGCTTTTCACATTAGTGGCTCCCTCACATTTCCCACCAACTTCCCAGAGGCATCCACTCAGCATGTGCAGAAAAGTTCTGGCTTTGGATGGGCCACCTAGTTCCATACCTCTGTTTTCTCTTGTGACTACTTTTAAGTTTATCTTTATTTCCTTTGGGGCCTGGGAACAGGGCGTGGTCAGGACCTGCCTGGTCTGTAGTTGCCATAGTTACCATGAGGAACATGATGAGTGCTCCTGGCTTCCCAGGGCCAGCCAGGCAAGTGTGCACAGGGGAGTGTGGGTCCAGCGTCGGATGTTTTGTTCCCGCATGGAGCTGCACCAGGAAGTGCTGGGCCTGGTGGACTGGACACCAGGCTGGGGAGGGACCAGAGAGCTGAGCGTGAGCCCCCTGCCTGCAGGGACTTCAGCCCCCCCTCGTACTCCAGCCCTGCCCATGGGCCCCAGCTCCTTCTTCTGATGTGGGCTGGCATCCCCTGTGTCTAGGCCGATCCCCAACTGGTGCCAGCCCGCCTGGCACCCAATTCCTGCGACTGAGCAGAGCATGGAGGCTGGAGCCGGCCTCCCGCAAGCCGGCTTAGCCAAGTTTGTATGTTTTGACTCCCGCCCCGGGACGGCAGCTGGAGACTTAAGGGTTCGCTTTCACGGGGCCTTCAGCTTCCAGATGCTTAGGTGGGCGCCACCCGCATACCGGCCAGCAGCTGGTTTGTCCCAGCCACAATGAGCAGGGGAGCTATGCCTTTGACGCCAAATCACCTTTGCCATCGAGGGATCATCCCGAGCCTCTGGGAGCTGAGAGCAGCCGGGTTGGGAGGGCAAAGCTGCGGTGGCTGCCCGCCGGCCGGGCAAAACCACACCTGTCTGAGTTAGGGGAGAAAGGGACCTCTGCTGGCCACTCGGCTGTGACGAGGCCCACGTGCTGCCCTTCCTCCTGGCCCCAGGCTATGTGGAGACTGGCAGGGGGCAGCTGTGCTGCCCTGGACTGGCCATGCCCTGCCCCTGTTGGCCTTTGCACCCAAGAGCAGGATCAGCTGAGCCAGCTGCCCCCCAGAATAGGCATGGTGTAGTTTGGATGTTGCCCCTTAGCCCAGCTCCCCTTGCCCTGAGGTCTCTAGGCTGGGGCTGTGTGCCAGGCACCGGGGGCTGCAGCACGGAGTGGGGGGGAGACCTGGCTGCTACTTCTGCTCATTCGGCCCTCTACTAGCGGGTTGGGGGACTTGCTTTCCCTTAATGCGGAGAGACCTTCAGGCCCTGCCTGGGTGGAGGACCAGACCCCAGGACCTGAGCATTGACTGGGTTATAGTCCAGGGTATGGCTGGCTCCTCTTCAGCCTGTCCAGACAGGGAGGAGGCCACCGGGAGCCAGCAGGTGTCCCTTGGAGGAGGCCCTGCTGGACTCTGGAGGCCTGAGAGCTGGTGGGTCTCACTGCCTGATGGTGTCAGGCTGCCGTGCTGCGGACAGATGCAGGGACACCAGGCAGGCCAGGTGCCAAGAGCTCCCCACGAGGAGCTGGTTTCTCCAGATGATGTCAGTACCAGGGCCTTTGGCACTATGCTGGTGGCCCTGCAGCAGGGCCTGAGGCCTGAGCATGTGGAAAGTCCTGGGGTCCCGTGCTCAGTGCTCTGAGGTCAGGGAGCCCCAGCGTCGGCAAGTGCCTCTTCCTTTCCCATGTGCCAGGATCCAGTCTGAGGTTCCCACGTGCCAGCATCCAGTCTGAGGCCGACTCCAGCTTCCTCAGGTGGCATTCCCTCTGTCCCTCCTGGGCTGGCTGGCATCTGACCAGTGTCCGTCTCAGACCTGCCTGCCATCTCCTACAGAAGCCAGGAGCCCCTCTGTGCCACTGGTGCTTCATGTTTGACCAGTTCTAAATGGGCATTCTTTTCTTTTTTTTTTTTTTTTGAGACGGAGTTTCGCTCTTGTTACCCAGGCTGGAGTGCAATGGCGCGATCTCGGCTCACCGCAACCTCCGCCTCCTGGGTTCAGGCAATTCTCCTGCCTCAGCCTCCTGAGTAGCTGGGATTACAGGCACGCGCCACCATGCCCAGCTAATGTTTTGTATTTTTAGTAGAGACGGGGTTTCACCGTGTTGATCAGGATGGTCTCGATCTCTTGACCTCATGATCCACCCGCCTCGGCCTCCCAAAGTGCTGGGATTACAGGCTTGAGCCACTGCGCCCGGCCATAAATGGGCATTCTTTTCACTCTGTTGCCCAGGCTGGACTGCAGTGGTGTGATCTCAGCTCACTGCAACTTCCGCCTCCTGGGTTCAAGTGATTCTCATGCCTCAGGCTCCCAAGTAGCTGGGACTACAGGTAACCACCACCACTCCCAGCTAATTTTTGTATTTTTAGTAGAGATGGGGGGATTTCTTTCTTTCTTTCTTTCTTTCTTTTTGAGACAGATGAGTCTTTGTCTCCTAGGCTGAAGTGCAATGGCACAATCTCAGCTCACTGCAACCTCCACCATCTGGGTTCAAGCAGTTCTCCTGCCTCAGCCTCCTTAGTAGCTGGGACTACAGGTGTGTGCCACCACGCCTGGCTAATTTTTGTATTTTTAGTAGAGACAGGGTTTCACCATGTTGGCCAGGAAGGTCTCGATCTCTTGACCTCATGATCCACTTTCCTCGGCCTCCCTAACTGTTGGGATTACAGGCGTGAGCCACCCTGCTCGGCTGTGGTTTCTTTTTTTTTTTTTTTTTTTGAGACAGTTTTGTTCTTGTCACCCAGGCTGGAGCGCAGTGGCACAATCTTGGCTCACTGCAACCTCCACCTCCTGGATTCAAGCAATTCAGCCTACTGAGTAGCTGGGACTAATAGGCATGCATCACTATACCCGTATTTTTAGTAGAGATGGAGTTTCAGCATGTTGGCCGGGCTGGTCTCAAACTCTAGACCTCAGGTGATCCACTGGTGTCGGCCACCCAAAGTGCTGGGATTACAGGAGTGAGCCATTGCACCCAGCGGAGACAGGGTTTCATCATGTTGGCCGGGCTGGTCTCAAACTCCTGACCTCAGGTGATCCGCCCGCCTTGTCGTCCCACAGTTCTGGGATTACAGGTGTGAGCCACCGCTCCAGGTCTCTAAGCAGACACTCTGAGAAATAGTTTAAATAAAGGGCTTTAGGTCAAAGCCACTGTAGATGACCTTTCAGCCCCCTCCCTGTTTTCTTCAGGTCGAGTTCCAGACACCAGAAGTCTGAATTTGGAGAAGGCTGGGGTAGACACTAGTCCCAGCACTCAGAAGATCCTGGTGGACTCCCGGGAAGCCACCTCTGTGCCCCACATCTATGCCATTGGCGACGTAGTGGAGGTATGGACTGGGACCAGGGCCCCTGCCCCCTGCCCACCCACCACCCCTGCTTGCTGGGCTCCGGCTGCTCCTGTCCCTTGGGAGAGGAACAATGATTTCTCTGATCACAGAGGCTCTGGGCCAAACCTCAGGCCAGCCTCTATGGAGTTCTGGGACGACCTGGATGTGGGCCTCGGCTCTCTGCCTTGCCTTTCCTCTCTGCGGTGGGGTGTGGGTCGCCTAAAGACAGCTGCAGGCACCAACAGCAGATGCCTGCTGGGAACCGGGTGTGGGTCAGCTCTGCACACCGGCCCCCAGGTAGGCTGGAGGCATAGACTTAGAGATGCCACCTCTGGACGTGGCCTTGGGGCTGTCCTGTCCCCACAGAGTTGAGCAACAGCTCGAGTTCAAGTCCACCCAGCCCCGCCCTGTCCACCTCAGTACCCTCTGGCCTATCTCTCTGGGTGTCACATGCGGGCAGGTCCTCTGCTCTCAGCCACTGCTGTGGAGTGGAGACCAGCACCAGCCTTTCCTGGGTGGGGACTCTGGAGCCCGCCCTACCCACAGCCCCAGTAAGGGACCTGAGCGGTCAGCCTCAGGAGGCTGCACCCTGGCAGCCTCAGGAGTGCTCGGCATGTCCAGTGCCTGCTGCTGAGGGTGGCTCTGGAGGGGCTCTGAGAGCTTCTCTGTGGTAAGAACTTTGGTGTTAGTGTCGTCGTCGGGCTGCAGTACCAACTCACTACACATGGGTGGCCCAGAACAGCAGACATGGATTCTCTCATGTTTGGGGGCAGTAGTCTGAAATCGAAGTGTCAGTGGGGGCTGGGGTGGTGGCTCATGCCTGTAATCCCAGCACTTTGGGAGGCTGAGGCAGGCAGATTACTTGAGGTCAGGAGTTCAAGACCAGCCTAGCCAACATGGTGAAACTCTGTCTCTACTAAAAAAAATACAAAAGGTAGCCAGGCGTGGTGGCCCATGCCTGTAATCCTAGCTACCTGGGATGCTGAGGCAGGAGAATCGTTTGAACCCGAGAGGAGGGAGGAGGAAGGTGGAGGTTACTGTGAGCCAGGACTGTGCCACTGCACTGCAGCCTGGGCAGCAAAGTGAGGCTCCATCTCAAAAAAAAAAAAAAAAAAGAAAAGCTGTCATCCGGGCCAGGCTCCCTCAGATGCCCCTGGGGTAGGATGTGCCAGGCATCTCTGGGTTGTGGCTGTGTCACTGCGATCTCTGCCTTATCATCATGTGAGTCTCCCGAGTGTGCTTCTGGGCCCTAATTTGTCTCTCACAGTTTCTCTGTCGTTGGCTTTAGGGTCCACCTGACCCAGGATGACTTCCTCTCCATCCTTACCTTAATTATATCTGCAAAGATCTTATTTCCAAATAAGATCACACTCTGAGGCTCCAGGCAGACCGTGCAGGGTCCTGTAGGGCCCATCTAGCCAGCCCGATTGCGTGCACAGAGCACGCGGCTCTGTGTGCCTCCACCACCCCTTAGCCCCAGCTGATCAGCCAAGCGGTTCAGCTCGGTGTGATTTCTGCAAGCTCAACTTCCCCGTGGACCATGCAGGTGCAGTGGTCTCTGATCGCAGGGTCTGTTGCATCCTGTGGGCACTGCACCCTGAGACAGCACCGTGTGCATCTCTGTGCACAGCAGGAAGCCTCCCTTCTGTCTGGGAATCGAGTTTTCCCTGTGCAAGTATGTAGCTCCCAGGCTGGGGGTGGGGGGGTGGGGCGTGTCGGAAACTGTAACATTTCAAACCGTTTTGCTAGAAATGCATGGCACACACAAAGGCATTCTTTATTTAAAAATTAAATCTACTCTGTCAGAAAGGTCATTGTGAGCAGTCCAAAGAGTTAACACCCAACCAGTGGTCCCTTGAGTGGCTGGGAAGAGCCTGTGGGCGGGGCGCGGGCTATTGTTTAATGAGATGTTGTGTGCTGCGCGCCGAGGGATGTTTCCGCAGTTAGTCAGGCCTGCTGGAATGTGGAGGCTGCACTCTGAGTTTATCTCCACGGATCGCTGTGCATTTCTGGAATGCCAAACAACATCTACATTTCCTGCTGCCAAGGTGATTGGCAGCCTATCCCGGAGCATGGTGCTGGAACCCCCAAGGCCGGGCGCACCCTAGGACGAGGGATCTCCAGAACAGCAGCCTTCTGATTTGGGATTTGTTATGGGCTGTGAAGCACAAGTCGAGCTTCATGTCAGGAGCACGTGGAATGCTTCGGGGTCCTGTTTTAGCCGGGATTCCAGTGAATGCAAACGGTAGCAGGGGCTCTTTTGAGCCTGGTGATGGGGCAGCCCTCCGAAGTCAACAACGTGTAGAAGGGGTTTGAAGAGAAGGCTTGAGCGTGTGGGGTCGGCATGGCCAGCCTCATCAGCGGCAGCCTCCTCTCCCAGGTGGGGTCGGCATGGCCAGCCTCATCAGCAGCAGCCTCCTCTCCCAGGTGGGGTCGGCATGGCCAGCCTCATCAGCTGCAGTCTCCTCTCCCAGGGCAGCAAACAGGAGAATGAGCAACCCACCAGGGCCCTGGGATGCCCCGCAGGAGGACAAGCTCCAGGGGAAGGCTTTATGTCACCACACTCAGTGCCAGTGTTTGGGGATTTTTCTAAAGGGAGATGCCCACTTGGAGGGCAAAGGGTGGTGGCATGGGGGCTGCCCGTAACCCCAGACATGGTGCTGACGTGGCCCCCTGTGCCTTTCCCTAGGGGCGGCCTGAGCTGACGCCCACGGCTGTCATGGCTGGGAGGCTCCTGGCACAGCGGCTCTTCGGCGGGTCCTCAGACCTGATGGACTATGACAAAGTGAGTTCTCTAGTGGGATACCTCTGCAGCCAGGAGAGGCTGAGTCTGAGGATGGCCCTTCCGGGATGAGTGGCCTTTGTGCTCTGTGTGTCTGTCTGCACGTAGGTGTGGCATGTGTGTGGGTGCGCTTATGTGAGTGTGTAGTGCACACGTGTGTGTGTGTGTGTGTGTGTGTGTGTGTGCGAGGGTGCGTGTGGGGCTCAGTTCTCAGTGTGACGCAGATGTGGGTGGGTGGGCTGCCTGCTGTGCTTGTAGCCTGCTCTGGGTGCGTCTGGGCCTGGCCTGCAGTCACTGCTCTTAGTGTCACATGCAGTGCGGACCTTTGATTTTGGGGCCCGAGGGCCCTCCCTGACTCCAGACCTGCTTTCAGGTTCCCACGACCGTCTTCACCCCACTGGAGTACGGCTGCGTGGGGCTGTCCGAGGAGGAGGCAGTGGCTCACCATGGGCAAGAGCGTGTTGAGGTGAGGCCTGGGAGCAGCACAGCTGAGGACAGTGGTGACTCTGAGACCTCCCTCCACACCCTGGGTGGAGGCCTTGTGAGCAGGGCACCAGGGTATCTCCTTTCCAGGGGCCTTGAGTGGTGGCCATCTGTAGCGGGAAGGGACACATTGCGGGCAGCCTTGGAAGTGGGGTTGCCTGGGCTCTGGCAGCCTTCTGGTGACTGAGCTTAGGTGCCTCTTGGCTCAGTGATCCCTGCCACCACATGTCAGAGCAGCAGGGGCAAGGCCCTTGGCTGCCTTGTTCTGAGGTCAAGGACAGACTCTGTGGCCCAGAAGCCCCCAGCCCCTCCCCAGTCATGCTGCAGGGGTGCCCAGCACCAGCAGGGTCCCCACCATGGTGCCACCCGCTCCCCTGCTGAGGTCAGCCGAGCGCCGGCCCCACTCCAGCACACAGCTGCTTGTCCCTGAAAGCACCAGGGCCCTGAAGGCGCCTCTGTACTGTGCCTACCTCGCAGGGGCATGAATCTCACTCAACCCAGAAAGGCTTCTCCCAGGGGCCTCTGACCTCTGTTCCTACCCTCACCTCCCCCACCACCCTGTACCTCACCTTCCTGGGACTGCCCCGGGTTTCTCCCAAGCGAGAGTCCCCACCCCCAGCATCCAGACACCCATCCTCTTCCAGCTTCTTCCAGGCCCTGGCACTCACCCTGGAGGAAAGGGGTTTTCATTGAGCGAGGCTGCTTTTGGGGTCTGCTCTGGCAGGCGGCTGTGGCCCCAGGGTGGCCTGGAGGGATGTGGGGACTCTGAAGCCTGCAGGGCCCTGGGAGCTGGAAGCCTTCGGCACGGGTTTCATTTTGCCGCTGCGGCAGCTTGCAGGCGCCCAGAGAAACCGGAGCCTGCGGCCTGGGCAGTGGGGCCTGGGGCAGTTGGGGATGAGTCACTGGGCTCCGGGCTGGCCCCTTCCCCTGCATCCCAGTCCTCTCCATCAACAGGACGGGCCTGTCAGGCCAGCCTTCCCCGAGGCACTTTATTTGCTATTTTTGTTTGATTCATCACAAGTGCGCTGGGACATATGTTCCTGGCATTTTATAATGTTGTTTTATGTTTCACGATGTTGAATGGCCAAATACCCTTTGTTTGTTTTCTTTTCAATTCTGTCTTAGTTAGAACAATATTCTCTGAAGTTCCATTAATTAATAATGGCTGTGCAGCACATGTGAGGGCCCCGCTCATTTTTTACTTGGCCGCAGCCCCGGACACGCTGTCGAACCCTTCGAGGGTGCTGAAAGCCTTTGTCCGACAGCCCTGGCTCCGGTGTGGTCATAGCAGCCTTGCTCCAGTGAGGGCCGAGGGAGCACCAGGGTCCCCGAGGGAGCCGGGTGGCCTCCTGCTCACCCGTTCCTGCCTCCGCTGCGTATGCTGTGCCCAGCCTGGGTGCTTGGGTTGCCTGATGCCTGCTGTGCTACTGTGGTCTCTGAGGGTCCCAGGCCTGGGTGGGAGAGGGTCTGTCCGGCAGAGCATGGCCGCTGCCACTGGCCGCCTGCACGTGAGTTGGTCTGCACACACCTCATGGCCAGCCAAGCCAAGTCCTCATCCCAGACCAGACCTTCAGGCCAGAGGGCTGGTTCCTGCCTGCCACGGCCTGGCCTTGCCCATGCAGCCTGTGGAAGCTGCAGGTGCCGTGGGGCTTGTGTGTCCCAGCACTGACCCTGGGTTCCTATCTTGTCCCCAGGTCTATCACGCGCATTATAAACCGCTGGAGTTCACAGTGCCTGGGCGGGATGCATCCCAGTGTTACGTAAAGGTGAGCATCCCTGTGGCTCAGGGCTGGGTGCTGAGGGTGAGAGGGAGGGCAGGGAAGGTTCACACAGTAGGGTGAACACCTGAGGGCTGGCCCCACCCGTGCCCCGCAGGCAGGGTACAGGGTGGATGCAGGGTGGACGCTTCTGACCCAGTCCCCTCCCGCACTGGTGGCTGAGATGTTCGACTTTCAGATGGTGTGCCTGAGGGAGCCCCCGCAGCTAGTGCTAGGCCTGCACTTCCTCGGCCCCAACGCAGGCGAAGTTACTCAAGGATTTGCTCTGGGGATCAAGTAAGTCCCGAGGAATGCGGCCCGATGCGCAGCGCAGCCGGGGCACCCGGTGCTGGCAGTGATGCAATGGAGAGCTTGCTGGGTTTATGTGGCCTTCGCGGGTCTGCAGCAGGTGCCTCAGGCCTTCGGCAGACAGAGCAGGTTTCGGGGGGACGAGAGGCAGCTCTGCCCCAGCCAGATGCTGCTGAGCTAGAGCCGGGTGTCCGCTGTGGCCCTGGGTCGCTGCTGGGGCCCTTGCCCACCCAGCCAAGCACTCATGCTGCCACAAGCAGGGTGCTGGTGCCCGGAGAGCCACCCCAGGGCTGCCGTGTCTTCTGGAGCTGGGGCCATTGCCTGGGTCTTGGGCTCAGGCTGTGTGTTTTCGGGGTCCCTGGGTTGAAGGAAGCTGTGGCAAAGGCTCTGGGTGGGTTGGCAGGGGCACTTGGAGGTTAGGACACTGTTCATGGCCTGAGAGGGGCGGCTGGCTGGATGTGGGGCCTAGGGGTGCTGTGGTGAGGCCAGGATGAGCTGTCTGTGGGTAAAGCAGAGAGCAGAGGCCTAAGGCGGGACTGTGTCTGGGGGCAGGGGCTGGAAGAGCAGGAAGCCAGGCCAGGGCGTGGCTGGATGGGAGGTGGGCTGGGTGAGCACTGGGTATCTGCTGGGAGGGAGGTGTACGGCTCCCACAGGTATGGGCAGGGGTCCTGGCTGCTGACTGGGGGTCAGGGAACAGTGAAGAGACCAGCGGATTCTGAGGCCCTCCTCTCCCAGGGACAGGATGCTGTGGACCCCCTGCCCTGTGCCAACCCCCGCCTGCCTCCCCCATCCCCTGTGCGCAGGTGTGGGGCCTCCTATGTGCAGGTGATGCAGACCGTGGGCATCCATCCCACGTGCTCTGAGGAGGTAGTCAAGCTGCGCATCTCCAAGCGCTCAGGCCTGGACCCCACAGTGACAGGCTGCTGAGGGTAAGCGCCATCCCTGCAGGCCAGGGCACACAGTGCGCCACCACCAGCTCCTCGGAGGCCAGACCCAGGTAAGCAGGTGGGGCCGGTTCTGTGCGTGAGGACAGGGCACGCGGCAGGGGCGCAGGAGCCCTGGTCACGGGCTCCCTCCAGGTGTGCAGCAAGGCTACACCTGCCACGCCGCAAGGAACAGGGGTGCTCCATCCTGTAACCAGGTCACAGCTGTGACAGGCAGGAGGGGAAGGCCCCAAGGGCCCAAACCTCCCCGAGGGCCACCAGACCCCGGCCTGGCCGCAGCTGCACCCCACATGCAGGAGGTGTCGAGAAACGGGGCTCATCCTTAGCGGCCGGACCCAGGTGGACACTGGTGAAGGAGCCCCAGGCGGGCTAAGGTTGGGCATCTCAAGTTGCTGCTCCACAGGGGCTGCTGTCGGGAAGCCGGCCTCCCCCACCCTGGCCTGGCTCCTGCAGAGCTCGGTGCCAGCTCATTTACCTGTTGCCCAGAAGGTGGAGATGCTGCCCGATGATGGCAGCCCTGCCCGGCCCGCCCCACACATCTGGTTCTGTGCCAGCACTGCAGAGCCAGGCTGGCTGGGGGCATGTTGTTCATTGTGATCTCTTCCGAGGAGGAAAAAACTGGCGAGGGCTCCCAGTGTCTGCCCCAGGGATGCCTGTGCATCCTCCGGCCCGGGCTGCAGGGCAGGGGCCAGGGTGGGGTGGGCCCTCAGCCTGTGCCATCCAGCCTACCTGGGGCACCCCCACGGCGGTCAGTTTCTGCCAGGGTTGGGGGTGTTTGGGCACCCTCTCTCCCCTGGGGCTGAGGTGGAGACCAGGCAGAGCAGTGGGCTCCCCGAAGATGCCTGTGCGCAGGCTCCGGGGTCCGCATGGCACCGAGGGGCTCTGGGAGACCTTTCTGGGGCCACTTGGGGACCCCTGCTTCACTGGCCCCCCCACACAGATCAGGGCCGCCCTCGATAGGGATAAACAAAGGCCGCCCTGAGGAAAGCCTTATCAGAACTTCGCACCTCCCAGAGCTGTTTTGTTAGGAGCCTGCTATAAATTTTTATCATTTCAAAATATTTTCGTAGCGCTGCATCACTCCCTGTGACGCATCGCCCTGGAGTGGGGCCGCTCTGCAGTGTGTTTCTCACCCATCCCTCCCTTGGAGGTCCCTGGGTGTGGCAGTGGGAGACGCGGCCAGGGTGACGCGAGGGGTGGGTGGCTGCCCTGTGCTGACCCTTCTGTTGTCGGCAGGACGGCTGCAGGCCAGGCTTGGGGGGCCTCGCCCCTCTCCTGAAGCCCCTGTGATGGTCAGCGTGGAGCGCCAGTGCTGGACAGGTGGCCCGTGTGCCCTGCAGGGATGGCTCGAGGGCTGTCCACCTCATACCTGCACCTCTCAGCCTCTCCTGCCTGGCACCCCCCCAGGCTCCTGGTGCCAGATGATGACGATCTGGGTGGAAACCCATCCTGTGGGCACCCACATCCGAGCCCGCTGGCATTTCTGCAACGCAAATAAAGAGGGTGCTTTTTCTGAAGTGTGCTCTGCCTGTTGTGTCCCTGATGGGCCAGGATGGCCCGGGCAGGTGGGGTCTGGCCAGGCCACCAGGCCTCTCTTCAACCATGAGTCGCTTCCCTTAAGGGCAGCCCAGGGTCCGCTGGTGCCCCTCGAAGCCCTGAGCAGGATTCCAAGCAGCCCTGGGCAGAAGGGGGCAGCCTTGCAGTGCTGGGGACCCCGCTGGAGCAGGAGGCAGAGCTGCCCCACCTGCCCCAGCTGCCCCACCTGCCCCAGCTGCCCCACCTGCCCCACCT